CCCGCGTTGTCAGTTTGTGACCTTTCCTGGGTCCAATGGCAGCATGTAAGTACCAGTGTGACTTCTTGTGTAGCGTTGCCTCAGCTTTTGGTGCCCCTTTCAAAGGTAAGCATTGAATGACGATGTGTTGTCATTGCCTCTTTTTTGTCTTCATTGCTAATGCCAGAGGGGTGTTTAAATGTCTAGAAATCATTCTCTCTCTTGCATGTGTACAGCTGGAGAAAGCCCCTTTATGGTCAGTCTCCTGCTGTTCACAGGCAACCACACCATTTTTAGAATCTGATCAAACACCACTTTGAAAGAATTAGATTTGTGTCCTCAAAGATTTTTTTCTTTGTTTGTTTCAAGTCTCTAAATACATGTTCATTCCTTTTTCCGTTTGACCTAACTTTAGACATTTTAAAGTTAGATGTTGAAATCTGATATAGTCACAGCAGTAAAAAAGGCACCTCCAGAGAGTCATTCATGTGATGTATTTTAGTTGTCTGTTTTACAGTGACACCAAATACCCTCTGGAGGTATTAGCTTCTCTCCACTCCTGAGTGATAGGCTCAGATTTGGACATCGACTCAGGAACACCTACAGTGAGAGACAGGTGAACCTTAGGATAAAGACCTAAGGAAGCTGTTTTAGCAAAGCCTGTTGTTTATGCTGCTGAGCTACCAAGTTTTGCTCTGAGCGGAAGTGTTTGGGGAATGATTGGAGAAGCGGTTCACCTCTCAGGGCAGAGGGAGCGGTAGCCTTAGGTAGGGTGAGCAGGAGTTGGCAATCAACAGCTGCAAGTAAGAAGGCAGCCACTATCGCTCTTAAGGTGCCTTGTGACATGGCACCTTTCAGAATGCATGCAAGGTGCATTTTTTTTCTTCCCTTTCTAGATCTGCAGACACTCTGTAAGGGTTCAGTGCTTTCGACACAGCCTTTACAGGGAGCGGAGCAGAGTCAGGCATGCTCTGTGGCACGGTTGTTGAGGTCTTGGTGCCATCGCTTCAGATGCAATATGCTTTGCAAATCACTGGTTTGTTAGCCCCCTTGTACACGCACAGCAAATTCTCTGTAGCTGACTGGTTTGTTTTAAGAACAGAGTGCACAAACTAGGCATGTGAATTTTTTTCCTTTGAGCTTTATTATAACTATGTAAATGGGAGCCGGTGTTTTTTACAAGGGTGAGTGCCATTATTTCTGTATGATAGCTTGTTCTGAATAAAATGTAGCTCAGTTAGTTCCCAACCTGCAGCTCATAGGCGTTTTGACTTCAAAAGACTTCTGATGTTGCGCCACAGCTACAGGAAATGAAAAAGCCTGGAACTGCACCGGCAGGCAGAGCGCAGTGTGGTGCTGCCTGCAGCAGGTTTTTGCTACAAATTATTATACACGGGCCAGTAAAAGTTCACCGATCCCTTTTTTTTCTGCTTTTAAGCCTTTCAAACCCAGTGACGACTTTGCAGCACACCTTTTCTGATTTTGAAGTACTGGGTTTATTACCTGCCTTTTTAACACTCGCTGTAACTTTTCGCTTGCAAGTAACTCAGTTTATGCTTAAGCGTGGAGAAAAATGCAAGAAAACTCCTACAAAATACTTTCTTCATCAGTTTACAAGTAAGAAAAAAAATGGGTTAGATTAGCAAGTATCTGCAGCCTTCATTGCAGAATTGCTGCCCTATATGGTTTAAAATTAACTTCACATCAATCGGTCAAATTACTTACATTTTAAAGTCACAATGTGCCATTTAGATCTCAGATGACTAGCAGTTAAAGCATAGACTGTAATAATACTCTGAAATAAGTGGCAATATTAGCAAAAGGGAAGATGATGAGAGAAGACCAAAACTTCAGTGTTTCTGTCTAAACTGCTTGTTAGTTGTCTGTCATGGTTTAACCTGGCAGGCAGCCAAATACCAAGCAGCCGCTCACCCACTCGCCCCCTCCCGCCACGTCCCCCACCCCCGCAGTGGGTCCGGGCGAGAATCGGAAGGGTAAAAGTGAGAAAAACTTGTGGGTTGAAATAAAGACAGTTTAATAGAACAGAAAAGGGAAAATAATAATGATAATGATAAAACACAAGGCAATTGCTCACCACCCGCGCTGACCAATAACCAAGTAGCGATTGCTACTTCCTGGAACACGCCTACCATGCATATACTGAGCATGACATCACATGGTATGGAATACCCCGTTGGCCAGCTGGGCCAGCTGTCCTGGCTGTGCTCCCTCCCAACGCTTGTTTTGTTTTGGTTTTGTTTTTTTTTTTCTTGAGCTAAATGTCCTTGACTAGCAGGGTACTTAGCAACAACTGAAAACGTCAGTGTGTTATCAACGTTCTCCTCATACTAAATCCAAAACACAGCACTAGGAAGAAATTTAACCCTATCCCAGCTGAAACTAGGACATTGTCCCAGTTGGTCTTTCTGGTTCCTGACCACACTGCCTTTGGAGACTTTGTGATAGTTAAGAAACAGACAAAAAATCAGTGATGTTGGGGTGGGAATATTGCATTTGCAAAATCAGAGTTTTTCTTTACTAACAGTTTTTGTATACGCACTACTTGGTTACTCTGACTTCTTTTCCTATCAGCTCTGTTCTCTTGGAAAACTCATACTGCTGTATTACCTAGGTTGCTTTAGTGTAAGAAAAAGGAGATACCCCTTGGCTGTAGAGCACTTCACACAATTCATGCTCTGCTCAAGTGCTCCAAACCTGAGCATGCACAATGGGGTCCAGCAGCACCTTCTCCTTAAAACCAAAGGGATTTGCTGCTGGATCTGTCGTCTTGCATTAGACCAGAGAGAGGAACTAGTTGGTACATGCCTCTTGTTGGCTTGCTACTCTCCACTTAGGTATTTCTTTAGAGAAAGATTTGGGAGGAGAGGGAGAGCAGTGAGACAACCATGAGACTAATGGAGATAAATGCAGACTTCAGCTAGATTTTCTATACAGTAATAACAAAACTTTATGGGGTAGGAGGGGAAAGGATTCGTACAGTTCTATTATTAACATCCAGAATTGTGTTTATTTCTTACTCCCTTAGCAATCTCAAAAATATTCTCCAAAAGTCACACAGTATTGATTATTAAGGTGGCAACCGACATCTGTCACATCAGGCAACATCAGCAGATCAGTTGCTACTTGATGTTAGAAATCATAGCGGGAATGTTATCTTTAGGGAAAATAGCCAGCCTCTTTTGCACAATGAAAGAAGCACTCAGTGTGGAAGGTATTTATTATATTTAAGTTATTTTGAATGCAGCTCTGTAAAGTTGTCAATTTGGGACCATTTTAGTTTAGATGGTGAAGAACGAACAGTCATCTGTAGGTGGAAGAAAGAGCCAATTTGAGCGAGTTTGGTTACATTGCATTAAGGTATTAATTTTAACATTCAAAAAGCTGCCACTCATGCAGGATTGCAGTAGCTGTGAATAATATCGTCAAAAAGCCAAACTCAATGGCTTCCCTTCTCCCTTCTTTCTCTAGTTTCAATTAATAGATTAGAAAAAAAAGTTCTGTAACTTTTTATTACTGTTCGCCCTAGAGAAGGGTTATCAAGAGATGTTGCAGGGGAAATAATAAACTGACCATAAGATCCATTTCTGTAATTTAATGTCAGATTAAGGCCGTTCTTGGACAGTGTTTACACAACTGATTTTGGTGTGTATTGAGCATATTTAACAGGTAAGAGAAATAGCATAAGAAAAAGTACATTTACTTGTGCAGAGTGTGTGTATATATGTTTGTGCGGATACATGTATATAAATAATATGAGGTAGTATGGTTTATACATTGCACATCTTCTAGAGAAGAGGGAGTAATCAGTGAATCCTGTGTTTTGAATGATTTCTCTCTTCCTACCTTCTCCTCCTCCACCACATTCCACCATGGTCATGATTCATGTCAGTAAGTTGTCCTTCAGCTAATAGAGGCTGAGCAGCAAGCTTTGGCAACTTAATTTAGGGAAGTTCTCTCATCCGCTCTGCTACAAATCATATGACTATAATTATAGGTAAGCCAGCGGATCTGGCAAACAAAGCTCTGGAACTGAATCTTTTCATTTATCTGTCTGTCTTAAAACTATGATGGCAGAAGGGTCAAGTAAGGGGTGTTACTCTTATTCAGAGCTATGAATTCAAGCCTCTCTTCAGTCGTGCATCCAAAGATGCACCCTCGTGCCAGCTTCTCATGGGAGCCTGGATGTCCAAGCTGAAGAGAAAGATGGCTGGTAACATCATTTCCAGTAGCTGGTTGATTAAGAAAATTAGTCAGTCTTAACCACACTAACCCGATGACACACCTAGCTTTGGGGGTCCTTTAGGATGGGTTTTCCTTCTATTTTCTTTGATCTGATATTAGTGCGTAAATATGCACCTTACAAATATGTGTGTATACATACATATACGTACGTACTGTATGTGTGTGTATATATATATATGTAAAAGAATATATATTTTAAAAAGGTTAGTGAGATATTTGTACACCTGTGAAAGAATTACAGAGGAAAAGATACAGGACAAAATAATCAGTTGAGAGCTTATTTCCTTATGAGCAAAAGCCACAGGGTTTTGGATGCCTTCCCCATCCCTCCCATTTCTGGATTTGCCTACATCATGTGTATAGAGGACTAGCCTAGAAGAGAAATTGTAGCAAATACACCTGGAAAAATCCTCTGGCTAAAGTTTGTCCATCCTGTCACTAGGAAGCACAGTCTATTAGTTAAATTTTGGCTCTTGAATAATACTACAGAAAGGAAAAAATCCCCACAATTTTTTTTCATTTATTAATTGCACTGAATTATAAAAATAGTTGAAAGAAATAATATGCACCAGAAATCTTTTCTCCACTTCTTTTTGTAAATTAATTCTAGGCAGATATATTAAGCATTGCAAACATTCAGATTCTTTTAATAGTGCTCAAAGAATAATATTTCATCTTTAATCATTTCCCCTGGCTTGTGTTTGGCATGGAATTTTGTTTTCATTTTACAATTTCCCTGTTTCCTTCATTTCCGCCAGGAGAGAGAAACAGAAGAAGAAGATGTCAGGTGGCTTTCAGTTATATGCCTCAAAATGAAGATGAACTGGAATTAAAAGTTGGTGACATCATTGAAGTCGTGGGAGAGGTGAGCAGATCTTTAATGGAATATACACACATGCAGTTCTGACATTTCTTGTGAATGCTAAGCTCTTGGATACAGTGTGTTCTAAGACATAATTTAAACCAGACATTTTTTTTCTCTGGTATACTGACGTGTCTGGTTTCGGTTACTGTTGGGGGTGAGGGGATGTGGTTGTTTGCTTATGGATTTCGTGAGGCTTTTTTTCCCTGCAGCACTTCTGCTGGTTTTACCCGATCAGTTGACGCTTCCGAGTTCTGTTCAGGGAAGAAGCTCAAAGTTTGTGCTACAGGGCTATTGAATTTATATCTCTGAAGAACCAAGATTATAGCAGAAAAAGCTCTTCCCAATTTTAGTAAGCCAGCCACAGGGAAGAATTATCTTTAAGGAGTTAAACACATTTAAGAAATTTACTTGAAGCCCTCTGGAGTTAAGCCATGACGTTCACCTTTTGTCATCTTTGCCTGAAAATTTTAACAATTTCATTTTACTGTAAACAGTTTAAAAAAACCCCAAACAACAAAAAACTCCCACCAAATTCTTTAGACACTGAAGATGAAGTTATTTTGGGTGGAAATGGATGTAGAAAATGAATGCACATCTCTTAAAAGACTGGGAACAAATTACGAAAGCTTGGGCAGAGATACAGAAATTTTCTTTGCATGGGTGAATCTGGTTGCAGGATCAAGGAATGCTGTTCACTCCCAATACCTTCAGTTTTCTGCCACTAGAGATTTTAGAAATATCTTCTTGAGCTTAATAGCATGAGAGGACCAAAAGTCAAAATGCTAACATGAAGCCTTTAAGTAGAATGCATTCAAGCTCATTTAGTCTTTATTTACTTAGCTTTAAAAAGGTCTAAGAGCTTAGTTTGCTCAAGCAGCCAATAAAAGGTGTGTTTCAGCTTGTATCATTTATTTGTAGGATTTTTTTTCCTTGTGGCTCAGCAGCTAATAAGTCAACAGTTATTTTCTTGTCAAGGATATACGATTCGTTTTCTTTTTCCTGCCTCTGTCACTTAAGAAATCAGTTCTAAAAGAATATAAATTCTACTGCAATCCACATGACATCCAGCGTTTTCTTACGAGAGATTAAATTCTCACATCTGAATGTAAGAAGCTTAGTGATCACTGGCACACGCCAGCTCTGCACATCGTTCTTCCTGGAATCAGACATTATGTGTCACTTAACTAACCTTATTCTGTCTGTGAGCAGAATTGTAATGGGGGAGGTCAAGGTTGTAAGACATTTAAGAGCATATTTTGAAGACAATGTAAACCCAGTATTATAATGAGTTTCACAGCAGCACATCAGCTGTTTTCATTGCACAGTTTGAAGTGTATTTGACCTCACATGGCCACACAAATATCTTCCGTCAGTTGCCCTACTTAAAACTTTTAAGTCTGTGTCTTTCAAGAGTAAAGTGATGGAATAAAACCCCTTCCTAGTATCCAGCCAACAGATTAACTCTACCACATGAATTGTATGATTAAATAATTTAGATGAGACACTAGACTTCTCTTATGAAACGCATCTTCTGTTGTCTTATAAATTTGAACAACTTAATTATAAATAACAGATTTATTTAAATCCAAATGTGACTGAAAATGATTGCATTAAAATTAAAAGATGTAAAACTATGAAAGTGAAGTATTCTGTACTTGCATGTGTGTGCTTATAGTTAAGGGCATGTTTTTTGAAACTCACTTGGATTGCTGATTACAGACTTAGTAGTCTTAAACTCATAATTGTGCCTTGAATTGCTACTGAAGAAAGCATTGGCAACTTGCTGATTCTAAGGTTTTAGAAAATATATTGTTTAGGGCTGCTTTTTCTGTTTGGCCATCCTAGAGAGTGACATACTGGAATTAGTTTTACTGTGGTGTGGAAGAGGATTTCTTATGGCTAGCTTGAACTCCTGGCCGTAAGTAAATGCCAAAGAAGAGCAGCTGACACAGGTGAGGCTGTGCCCACTTTGACCGTATGAAATACCCTGTTCTGTCAGCTACTGAAACATAAGCTCTGCCTCAGGCATCATCTGGTGCATTCATGTGATCCAGGACATTGTCTGACTCTTCTGGGTGGAACTAGATCAGCTGGTGGAAGAGGGAGAATAAAGGAATTTAGAGAAAAAATTCTCAGCACCTCAGGAGGTGTCATTGTGTGACCTTTATTTTCCATCATGGCTGATACCAAGCAGTTGATGTTGAATGCTTGCTGTTATTACTTACTCTTCTGCGCTTATCATAGTAGCATTAATTCCTCAAAAAAGTAGGGCAGAATTTTTCTTTTGAAACAGGAACTTTGTTTGATGTAGAAAGCTGCACCAACCAATGTACTGATTTCATTGTTTATCCTAACAATATCCATTGTTTTTCCTTAGGTAATGCTGCATAGATAGTCATTGTGTGATTCACATTGTTTATGTAATTATACGATGCTCCTTATTTCAGATGTTAAATGTTTGATGTGAGGGACTTATTATTTAAAAAATATGGTTTCCTCAGTTGTGAAAATGAAGATTTTTTTGCAAGGGCCAAAATCATGCTGTGTTATTTTACAAAACCCCCCAAAACAACAGCAAAAAAACCCTCCCACACAGGCAACATTTGGAGGCAATTCTTGCAAAATATCAATTTTGTTTATCATTATTCAAGATGAAAAACTGGATGATAGCATCTTCTGCATTATTTACAGTGGTTCACTGGGTAATTGGAACGTTAATGGTCATTCACTTTCCATTTCCAGTTGCTCCTTTCTCTTACCCCATCTTTTTATTCATGAGTAGAAGGTCTCAGATTCCCACAGGTAGTATTTTATTGTATACCCCTAAGAAAGTTGCATCAGTTGAATTAATTGGTTTTAAATTGACTTAAATTAATATTTTCAAATCTCTGTGGATTTCTGTTTACTTGGAAATAAATCGATTCCTAACTAAACCGGATATTGTTTAGATCAAAATACCGTGTATATAACTTTATGCGGGTATTTAGCAAAAAATATGTTTCAAATGTCACTTATGGTTGACAACCCATTAAACTTTTCCTGTTGCAAAGAAAAACTGGTTCCTGTTGTACTGTGCTAATTTGGCTTCATACTTGAAGAAATGGGTTGTGCTTCTCTCGAACCTCTTGAAGGTCACTGCCTCCAGCAAAGGGTTGGCTGAAGGGAACGCAAGTCGTCTCCTCAGCTGCCTCCATCAGTGCCCAAGTGTGTTTTCCCAGACCCCCAGTGAAAATGGGTTACACTGGTATCACATGGTGACATGCTGAGGATGAGGATGTCTTCCCTGTCTCCCACCTCTGCTTCAGGGTGCTAACCAACACCTGAGGTGTAGTAGCATCTAAAGCTGCCCCAGATCCTCCTTCCTGGTGCCAACGGGTTGGACAAGATACTTTTTGAAAGGGTTTTTATATCTGTCGTAGTGGTAGATACTATTGGAAATTCCTGTTGTGACAGAAGTGGTTTGGTGCTGTTTAGTGGATTGAAACAAAAGCAACAGTGAGTTTTGAGATGCTAGGCTTGTCACCAGATGGATGTCCTTAGAGGCTGTATATGTTCAGAATTCACAGTTCCTTCCTATTTGTTCCAAATAGTTAGAAATTAATTATAATAAGATCAGACATTCATCACAATAGATAAAAATGCTTGTTGTTAAACTAGAGGTTTCCATAACTGCACAGGCACTGATACCCATGAGACAACAGACTTAAATTAAAAGTACATTTGAAACTAACAAGAGAAGCATTTTCATCATTGTTTACATTCACGTTTAATGTGATTGATAGCTTTTGGCTTGTCATTTTCCTAGCTCATTAGCTATAACTCTAATTAGGTTTTCCCAAAATAAACTGTAACTAATTGTCTTACTAAATGCAGATATCTGAATTCCAATTATGTTTCACTCTTAGACGTTCATGGGGTGCCAGACAATTAACCTGAACTGTCAGAGTAAGGACATTTGGCATGTCATTCAATAGTTCTGAGCCTGCTTTCATTTGGGATTATTCTGTCATTGTGCTGCTATATACCTTGTGGCCTTATCCTGCTTTTTGGCAGCTTTTTGGCAATGTGTAGTGCATGGAGGTAAGCTCACAACTAAGTCTTTGACTGCGACATGGTGTAATACCACTGAGCTTATTCTTTGACTTTTAGTTAACATTGCCATATACTACATGATCAAATCCTGTAACTAACTCATTTGAAATTATAAAAATGCAGACTGAATTTTTAAAAATCTGGTGCTCCTTTTGGGCAAGGTTGGTGGGGGTTTTTTGTTGTTGTTGTTATGAGATAAAGTGGTTCAACCCGTTTCCAAGAACAGGATAGACACTGGAGATTGAGCTGGACTTTCCTTATAGTAACTTATTTTGACAGCTGTAGAGTTGAAAGGGGAATATTTAATAGTGGCAAGGGGATGGTCTGTGCCACAAGTACGGAACTGTATAATACTGCAAGAAAACAGTTGGGAATGAATGCTGGGGTTCCACGTCCCTCGGTTACTTTTCTGTGAAATCCTGTGGTAAGGTGTTTTTCCTGATCCTCTTCCAACAGGTGATTCACAAGGACTTCTATGACTACAGCTTGTTTGGTTAGTTCATGTGGTAGGAGGCTTTTTTGTGAAAATAAGGGTGCAAATACCTCCGACTCTTTATAGGGTCATTCCAGTTCTATGTGATTGCTTTCTCTGTCCCTCAGTTTCTTATTTAGAAGATGATGTTAAAAAAAACCCAACAAAAACCCCAAACACAAAAAACAAATGGAAAAAATCCCAAAGCATATTTGGACACTGTAAAATAAAGAACTCTGAAGCTGAAAAGATCCCCCAATACAAGGTACTTGTGCAGTTTTTAATTCTTCCCTTCTGCACCAGAGTTATCAAACAGCTTCCAGATGTGCTGTAGCAGAAGCCCAAAGGCTGGCTGACGTCTCATGGGTATGACTCTCTCTGAATGCACTCCCAGAATAAGCCATCAAGTGGCACTGTAGGCACCCTCTTCTGTTGAGGTCTTGTTTCCAAAATTTCTTTTCCCATTGGCAGTGAGCATGATTTGTTTATTCTGCCTCTTGGGAATCTATGTTTTTAATTTCCTTTCAACATACGATTGCTTTTGTCCTTCCAAGCTCAAGATCTTCCATTAGAATTTATAAAATTTATAAAAATATATTAAAAAATTATGAAAAAATGAGTTTTTTCCTTTGCTTTTTGTGCTCTAGTTCTCTCTAAGCAAAAGAAAATTTGTTGACCTTGGACTTCTCTCCTTCCTGTTGCCTGCCTCTGGCATGGCTTTTATTCCTGGTACTGTCTTAGTTTTAACAGCCCAGAAAGACTGTTGTGATCCAGGGAGACTTTTTTCCACCAGAAACCTTTCCTGACTCAAAGCCTCCCTCGTTTGCCATAACTGAGCTGTAAGTAGTTTGTCAACCTAATAGGCAAAGCTGCAGGTTGTAGAAAAGCTTGTGGAACATGCGGATACAGGAGTTTATTGAAAACACACTTTAGGTCAGCGATTCCAAAGAGCTGAACATTTTAATCATTTAACAACTTAGGCCTACTAATTATATAGCAAGGGGTAAGCAAGCAGCTGTGGCAATCCTAGGTAGTCTGGCAAGCAACTGCTGGTAGTTCGCCTCAGCATTTCCTGCTCTTTTTGGGTATCCCGTCCTGGAGTTACAGGGATGGCTGCCCAGTTGCCTCAAGGGAGGGTGCTTCTAGGCTAGTAGCAACAAGGTTTATTGTACTGCAGGTGAGGCTGATGCTCCCTCTAACGCTTCTTTCTTTAAAGGGGGGTGTTGCAGATTGTGTTGTTCATAAAGAGAAAACCTAAAGAAAATAAAAAGTAATGTTTCCTCACTTTTGGAATATCTTAATTTTGTAGTCCTAGTGACCTACTGAAGTAGTTTTGTTTTCTTTGGTTGCTTTACAGTTACAGAATAAAACTGCATTCCCGCTTTGAAATAGAACCACTGAGTTTGCCCGAAGGCTTGAACTGCTGTTGTACTATTTTTTTTTTCCTTTTTTTTTCTTTTTTGTACTTTAAACATGGAAATAGGCTGATTTCAATAATTTTTTGTTGATTTCTAAGCAGCTTAATGTTCTAGCATCTGTATACCCATTTGAGAACTTCTTGTTGGTGTGTCTGAATCTCTCACTCATATAACTCTTTGTGTTATTTTCCTGTCTGTCCAATTCCATGGTATCTATTTTGAGCACTTCATTATTATTCCTTATTTATATTATTATTTGTAAGTAAAATTAACTTTTAGAACCTCTTACTGTCTTTCTAGTCTGGGTTGTTATTGTGTACTGGCATCTCACAATTTGATTAAATACTCCCTTTCCAACAAAGTAAACCAGCATATTTTGAATGATTTTCATCTGTATTTGGTTTATAGTTTCCAAAAAACTCATTTATATCAAAAAAGGCTCTACTGATTGAGTAATTCAATTAAAAACAAAATACAAGTATTCTTTCTTCCTTGAAAATGTAAGAAAACCCAAAGCCCAATGATATTGGAAGAACATTTGAATGTTGCATAATTATTATCTAGATTAAATTTCCCTTTAAACCCCAAAGGCAAGGCTTCTTAATGGGATGCTTTTCTCTAGAGGTGATGCACCGTTCTCTGGTGGTACTGTAGTCCGTATCTCATTCAATCACATCTGGGCATTGGGCTGCATGTAGCTGTCTGCTATTGCATCTGTCCCTGCCCCACGCCTGGCATTGACTGAATTGCAGTTGGGTGCATGTGTTGTTACCTCCCTAAATATATGAAGTGGAGTAACGAAGTATCTTCAGTCACTTTCCTGTATGTTGTTGCTCTTCAAATGTGGTGTAACAGCAGTACTGGCAGCCTAGAGGCTGGGCAAGATGAGGACGTGCCATGCCTCTCTGAAAGGCAGTGAACAGATATAACACATTGAAAACATGTCTTGAAAATACCTCTAGCTGTAGCCACTTACATTTGGCAGATTGGAAAGATTCTTCTTCTAACTTAAAACCAAAAACTTTGTTTTCAGGCTGAACTTACAATTGGTGTGTAGGTTATTATGAAGAGTGGAACTTCTTTTCTGGCATAGGGACACGGACTACTGAATGAAATCCTCCTCTTTTTAGTTTGTTTGGTTCAGCACTTGAATGCTGGGCATAAATCAGGACCTGGATGTATAAATCCTGAAAGCACTTTGTTCTAATAGTATAGTAACAAATTTTATTGAGTGCTCATACCTCCAGATGGATTACCCCCATGAATAATGGATTTTCATTTGTAAGGTTTTATTGGCTGGGAATTACTGCGACATTTCAAACCATATGGCAATGGATTGCCCCAATTTGGGATAACTAAATCCTGGGGGTAATTTAGTGCCTTCTTTATTGTATGGATTAATCTCTAGCTGGTGTGTTTTGAGGCTTAAAAGTATGTAGCGTGTAGCTGTAGTGTTTAAAAATACTTAAAACTTTTGATGCTTTTGATGAAAACTTCCTACTAAATCTTTGGGAGGCCCAATTTGACCTGAACTTCTGATGTCTTGCTAACATCATTCTGCGTTTTCTTGTGGAAGAAAATCTGGCTTTTGTTTTAGATTTTTCTGAATTTGTAAAATTTTTGAATATGACATGGTATTTTCAGATAACTCATTCTCGTATCAGCTGGAAAACTTGTAATAAGCTAATGAATGCTGTGAGTATATTCACATCCAATTTAGATTTACCTGTCTAAAGATCTTTGTATGTGTGTTTTTCTATACACGTACATAGAGATCCATACAAAGACACGTCACATAAAGGGTGCTGATGTTGACTTGTAAGAAAACTGTGAAGTTTTACCCTGGAAGAAGTAAGCAGGAGAAAATTATTTGAGGTAAAGATGGAACTGAGTGATATTGGTCACCTTTTTTCTGTCAAATAATTCTCAGCATCTTGTAAAGCTGGGATCTTAGGAACTGTGTAATTCCCCTGTGATTAATCTTCTGGTCAATCAGCTAATGCAGTTCTGGTTTAATGTTTAGCTCTAATCAATAGAGCCACCTGGGAATAGTGCATTAGAAAAATTGAAGTATTTTATAGCTCAAAGTGTCTTGGCCACTTTGTATATTTTCTATATAATGGTATATAATATATAGGTATTTGGAGATATAATTTGTAGGGTCTACTAAGTGTTGTGGATCATGCAGTTTCAGTTTTCCATATAGCTTTTAATTTGTCTGGAGAGAACAAAAACAAATACTACCTTTGAGAGACTTTAAGAGTATCATGTGAAAAACCTGCACCCCACTGAAGTCATCGAGTGATTTGTACATATTCTATCCTCTGAAATAGCAGCAAGATAATAGACATATTCCTAAAGTTGTGCTTCACCTCACTGATACTACTGATGCTTTTTTAAAAAAAAAAAAAAAAAAAGGAAGTTTTGTCATGGACACGTACTGAGATTAAATGAAAGTAGCTGTGCTGGTCTGAACTGCTTTCAAATTAAAACAAAAAATCAACCCAGGAGGACAAGAAATGTGCTAAAAAGGATGAAGATGGAGAGAAAGCCCAGGAAACACTCCTGGAGTAACAACAATTTGCTTTGTAGTAAAATTGTACCTGTAGCTAAGTTGAAAGAAATTCAACCATTCCTCTATAGTTTGAGGAAATATTTGCCTGTGTAATATAATTAAACATGTTAAATTACAGATTTGTTTTCTAAGAACCTGAGATTTTCATGAATAAGTGATATGAAACAGACTTTTTTCCTATAATAATTAACTAGTACCATTTAAGATGTGGGGTTGTTTTTTTAACAGTAAATGTGAACACCCTCAACTTGTAAAGTTAACTTTCTATTTTCATGATTTTGGTTGTGGGGGCAGGAAAGAGATGGGTCAAACATTATTGGAGACTGATGTGTCACAGACCGACACTGTCCTCCCTTGTTATTTTTTTAGTGAATGGACAGTGTCTCACAGATGAAAAATATTTGTCAAGGGTATGTTTAGCTGATGCATATAGTAAGTTATTTCTTGCTGTTCCATTATAACCTCAAGGCATCTGGTTTCTAAGGGCTGTCATTTCACTGCCTGAGACTGCCATTCAGTCCTGAATGGGTTATACAGGAGGGAGTTTGTCATTTTTAAGTGATATTTTCTCTTGGGATTGGGCTAGGAAGTGTCTCTCCTCCTTCTGACCATATTATTATTATACATTTCAGTAGCTCTTTGTAAATCTAGAGTCAAATATGCATTAGTACTGTTCTTTGTTCTCCATAGAGTTCTTACGTTAACACATTAATGATTCAGCCACATTCTTAATTTTTAAATTAGAGAATTTCTGATTTTGATGGGGAAGGCAGGAATATTCACATGATTTGTATTAAGATACCCAGTTTAGATTCCCTGAATAGCCCTTTGCAGGCATTTCTCTTTCACCATTGACTACTTAGGGAATTTAAACTCTTATAGTCTGTAAATCACACATTAAAATGGTGGTCATGAATAGGAGTACGGTATGCGCTGAAAATTTAGTGCTTGAACTGATATCCATAAAAAATGAAATGTGGAGACACCGTGTGCTCTCTAGTTGTTCTTTTATCCTTTTATTTAATGCTCGTCCATGCTTCTGACTGCTGTCAGCACTGCTGACATTTACAGATGGGTGCATGCATCTTTCTTGTGTGTACTTTAAAAAAAAAAAAAAGAGAGAGATGTTCTGGCTTGGAGCCTATGCCATGTGCTCCTTATACCTGCAACTAATACGAAGTGCTCAAAATCATTACTGTCGTTGTTACCGAAAATCATGTATATAATGTAACTCTGTAAAGTGTTGCTTATGTTAAACCCTCTTTTTTTTTGTTTTTGTCTTGGTGCAGGTAGAAGAGGGCTGGTGGGAAGGTATACTCAATGGAAAGACTGGCATGTTTCCTTCCAACTTCATAAAGGAATTGTCTGATTCTGATGATGTTGGAATAGCACAGGAAGAGCAAGTAAAGCCAAGTAAGGGAAAAAATATTATTGATGTTCAATGTATGTCTGTGTCTTTACCCACTAACATATTGATAGTGTAGTGCGTTCATATCTCTTGCTTGGAAGTGTTTTTGAATGTCATGTTCGTAAATACACTGTGAAAGGGTGAGATGATGATGCTAAGTGTGTACTTACAATGCTACCTGAGTTTTAATATTGGCATCGCTCCCTGAGCTGTGTTAAGACCTGCTGAGCTGCAACAGACCAAGAACAGAGAAGACAATGGTGATTATTGGATTTGTATTTCAAAATGAATTACAATTTTTTTTTTTCTTTACATGTGGAAACTGAGCAAAGTAACCAAACATCTACAAAGTGGCTGTGCTTATTTAAACAAGGGATTAAAGTGCCATGCCTTCTATAATGACTCCAGTAGATTTAAGGACTCATAATTATTGGTGTGGGACATGCGGCACTTTTTCCCTCCAGGTGCTGAGCATGTTACTATCACCTCCGTCACCCACTGCCCCAGCAGCCAAAGGGAAAAAGGCCAGAACTGGGACATGGACTTTGTTCTCTCACTTACAGTGGGCCAGTACTGCTGCAGGTGAAAAGCATGTTTGGTAACTAAGTTTGCGATAGTATAAGCATGGTAGTGGGTTGTCCTATTTATAACTTCCCTTGGAGAATAACCTGAACCAAAAATATGTTGTTAAATGAAATGGACACTTGTTGGTCTTCATGTTTTTTCTGTTCTTCAAACAGATATTCTTGTTATTTCCTAATTCAGTGGTCAACACTGAATCTTTAGTGGAAAGGAAAAAAGTCAATTGTATTTACATATTTCAGACTAATTCCACAATACCTGCCAAGGTCTTCCTATTTTCAGCACTGCAGATAATCATTGCTATGTAGTGTTCTTCTGAGAGCTCTGAGCAAGCAAAAGTGAAAGAACTCCCAAGATCTCCCAAGCTGAAATTTACCAAAACCTTTATAGTTCACTCTCTCAGTAAGAGGTAGAAAGTTATAATTCTTTCTTTATTTTTTTTTCCCCCCTCTCATTTTTCCATTTAAGGCAAATTGGTCATCTTTATTGCATCCCACAGAAATAAGATCCTAAAAAACCTGACCTTTGCAATGATGAAAATTTTTCGTATTGTTTTTGTAATGGAGTACCTATTCATGTGTAGTGGCACTGGTGACCTAGTCTTGTGGTCAGTGCTGCTAAAGATATTCACAGGTAACATTCCTTCAGACTGGAATGAAAATATTTTTTAAGGAAGTTAACAATTTTAGTGTGATGGAAAGGGAAGAAGGACATGAAATGAAGTTGTCTATTTCAGAGAGATTGCAAACTGCTTTCTATAACCTATATATGCTATCATGAATTTTGTTCATTATAAACACAGTGAGTCTTGGAAGAACTAATTGTGTAGATGTAGTTTCAGCTCTGGATTCTGTAGTGTTTGATACTCTATAAATGAACAAGGTAAGTGATACTATTCAGGATGGAATACCCCAATTTTATCTGAATGAATATGAATATTACTTCTCCGGGTAATTCGGTAATAATTACTTTATAATGAGCATCCTAAAAATGTCTTTGAACAAAAACATACATTGGAGTGCGTAAAAGCAGCCACAAAGCATTAGCTTGTTTCATCGACGTCCATAGTGGCACATGCTTAGTTCAAGCTCAGTTTTGTGTGCTGGTTCTGACTGTCAGTGGAACCTAAAACCTGTGATACTTGTATTGAGAAGATATCGGTAACAAAGATAGTGGTTTTGTCTCTTTAACTAAACTGAAGATAACTATAGCTTAGAGATGGGTTTTCTTCTTTCTTGTATGTAATTTAACTCTTTGGAGGTGCTTTGTAGCTAGCTAAGATGGTGTGTTATTACGAGCTATTTTCTAAATAGCAAAATACCTATAAAACAGAAGAACACTGTAAACCTCCTCAGAGAGAGACAGGGATGCAAGGAGCGTTGCGATTAGATTCTTATGGGGGTTTTAATGCTTTTTTATTTTTTTTTCTTAAAGTAAAACCACCAATTTAATAACTGCATTCCCCTAGCAGAATTATGGGAAATATGCATCAACTCAGTTCTTTCTATATGGTTTATGTAATTGTTACAGGTGTTGCTCTCTAACACGTGGTGCTTTATGAGGCTCTATTCAGGTACACTGACTATCTGGATTCAAAAATCTCCATAATGAGACTGCAAAAATTTTCACAAGTTTCTACAACTGACTAGGAATTATAATCTCATTCCAAGTATCTGTGCTTAGTCTTAAAACATAGCAAAATAAAAACCGAACAAGTAAACTCTGGAAGATTTGGGCATCAGGCTAGCATTACTGTTGAAATGCTCTGGGTAACATCTCAAAAGTGTGTAGATTCATGCCTCTAGATCAACTCCTTCCTCTGTGGATGACAAGACATGACAGCACTTCAAATCTGCAATAACTCCTTTTTGTTTCTCTGGAAACGCTGTTTGAATATGTCTGTATCACAGGACTTCGTAAGGCAGAAACATTGCATATGAATTCTAGATAAGTTAGCACTCAGGTGCGAGGGGCTGTACCTGCGCATTGAACCAGTGCCTTCGGCGGTCACTGAGGTTTTACGCAGCTTCTAGAGGGGCCTAGAAGGGGTTGGGGTATGGCTCTGTAATCTTCAGCAGCAACCTTGAACTCTTCAACCCAGCTTATACAATGGATAAGGTATTACTTGGCAGGTTTACTGTGAGACTTGGGAAGGTAGCATGGGATCTTTGGAGAAGGGGCACTGAGCAAACACAAGAGCATTTTTTAGTTAGTAGTTAAATTTAATGCTTTGGTTAAACTCAGTTAAACTTGACCTTTTAATCACATTTTACTGACCATCTCTAAAGAGAGCCTTTTTGGAAGAACAATTGTAATTTTTGGTGAACTCGAAGTGGAAGAAATACAGAAGAGAAAAATGATATAACTTGGCTTTTTAGGAATAAGGTTAATAAAAATGCTTATTTCTCTGTCCTTCTGCTATGACCTACTGTCGTGGTTTAACCTGGCAGGCAGCCAAATACCACGCAGCCGCTCACTCACTTCCCCCCCCCGCAGTGGGACGGGGAGAGAAGCAGAAGGGTAAGGGGG